TTTCCCTATCTCCAGGAGAGCTGCGAATTGAAAACCCAGCAGCACGCTGGTCCCCCTCCTCCTCCTCCTGAATGTCAACAGCCTCAAAAGTCTCTCCAGAGATCAGCACCCCCACCGGGATACCATGCAAGTAGCCGTCTTAAAAGAGGCAAGCAAAAGGAATTGGAGATGCTCTCTAGAAGGAGGAACAGTAAGATATGTTCCACAGTCTAATACTAAGACAATTCAGGATTCACCTTCATGGGAAAATAATCGCACAGTCTATAATGAGGAAGCCCAAGTACTGTAAATTGGGAATCACTTCACTCGTCACCCAATTTCATTTGAAAATGACCTATAAAATAGAATCTGCTACTTTACAGTTGGAATTGTTTTAAATGATCTTGTACAGTTGAGGAAAATTCCCACCCAGACGGGCAGCCTGGTCACCTCGACAGGCTGAGAAACCCGGACGGTGAGCCGGACTGGAGGTGCAGCGCCTCGCCTGAGCTGGGAGCCATGCACGCACTCCAGGGCTCACCTAGGCAAGAGACGGAGTCCAAGTCGGTCCAGACCCTTTCTTCTTCGAGAGCTTTCTGCCTTAGGGCACGTGCACTCACCAGAGAGAAACAGACAGACAGACACAGTGAGAGGAAAAGGGATAAGTCATCCTGGGAGGACAGCCACACCGCAGTCCCTTCTCCATTCTCCTCCTGAGATCTTGGGCATGCGCACACCCGTGCCTGGCGTGAGTTTCAAGCCACCACGTCAGGGACTCGAACGCAGTTGGCCATATGGGAGTCCAGTGATGTAACCACTATGCCATCTGCTGGTCCCTGGAACCTTCTTAATTTTTTGGAGAGATTTTTGATATAGGGCATACGTGCTCGCCAGAGAGATGGAAAGCGAGCAATCACTTCCAGGTGGGACGGCCACGCCACAATCCTTCATCTCCAGTTTCCTCTCGGGATTATGGGCACACAAGCACACACGCCTGGCATGATTTCTAAGCCACTGGGTCTGGGACTCAAACTGCAGCTTACTATGTGGGAGTCCAGGATGTAACCATTATGTCATCTGCTGGTCCCTAGGTCCTTTTTTTTAAAGGCTCATTTTCTTAACCAAAAATATTAAATGCCACCAAAAAAAATTCAGCAAAAGACAATCTAGGGGGAACCAGCAGTTAGCGTAATGGCTATGTCGCTGGACTCCCACGTAGTCGACCACGGTTCGTGTCCCGGACCCGGTGGCTTAAAACTCACGCCGGGCGCGTGTGTGTGCGTGCCCAAGATCCCAAGAGGAGAATGGAGGAGAAGGGATTGCGGCGTGACCATCCCCCCTGGGGGGTGATTTCTCGCTTTCTGTCTCTATGTCTCTCTCTGTCTGTCTGGCGAGCGCACGCGCCCTACAGTGAAAATCTCTCCAAAAAAAAAAAAAAAAGACAATCTAGGTAGTTAGGGTGCTGGGTTCCCATTTGACTGACTGAGGTTGAAGTCCTGCACCTGGAGACCTGGATGTGTATGTGTGTGTGTGTGTGTGTGTGTGGGTGTGTGTGTATGTGTGTGTGTGCACACGCATGTGCCCAAATTCCAGGAGGAAAATGGAGAAGGGACTGTGGCATGGCCACCCCCCTGGGGGGTTGATTTCTCACTTTCTCCCTCACGGTCTCTCTCATTCTCTCTCTAGTGAGCGCATGCACCCTATGGCAAACACCTTAAAAAAAAAAAAGAAAAGACGATCTAAAGAAAAATACAACGCCTAACTACAGACGGGGGGACGGTATGTGACCGACAAAGGAGTAGTGCTCAGAACGAAGAGCTCTTACAAATTACTAAGAGAAGCGCGGCTGACTCACAACGGCCAGAGACATCTGACAGAAGAGCAGCCACGCCGCGCTGAGTGATGTGAGTCCACGCTCATCGCCACGAGCGACTGCGGAGGTGGAGTCAAGTCTGCAGGGTAGGCCACTCTACCCATCTGACTGGCAGAGGTTAGAGCCGGAACGCACCGAGCGCCAGAGCACGCAGATACACAGGATCTTTCTGTATTATTGGTAAGAGTGGAAACTGGGACGAGCGCTTTAGAGAAATCTGCATCCCAAACGGAAACGCACATATTCGTTACTACTCAGTAACAGGCACACAGATGCCAGGATAAATCATACACGCGCCACAAGACATAGGTACCAAAATGTCCCAAACAGCATGGTTTATAAAAGCAAAACAAGGGACCAGGAGTTAACGTAATGGCTATGTTGCTGGACTCCCATGTACTCAACCGCGGTTCGAGTCCCGGACTCAGTGGCTTAAACTCACGCAGGGTGTATGTGTGTGTGTGTGCCCCCAAGATCCCGAGAGGAGAATGGAGGAGAAGGGATTGCGGTGTGGCTATCCCCCCTGGGGGGTGATTTCTCGCTTTCTGTCTCTTTTTGTCTTTCTGACGAGCGCATGCATAAACCTCTCGAAAAAAAGAACCAGCAGTTAGCATAATGGCTATGTCGCTGGACTCCCACGTAGTCGACCACGGTTCGAGTCCTGGACCCGGTGGCTTAAATTCACGCTGGGCGTGTGTGCATGTGTGCCCAGGATCCCAAAAGGACAATGGAGGAGAAGGGATTGTGGTGTGGCCATCCCTTCTGGGGGGGGGACTTCTTGCTTTCTGTCTCTCTGTCTCTCTCTGTCTGTCTGGCGAGCGCACGTGCCCTATAGCAAAAACATCTCCAAAGAAAAAAGAAAAAGGCAAAACAAAAAAGCCAAGTGCCCAATGACTGCAGTGTGCCCATGAATACACTGTGGTATAGCCGCACAGCGGAGTCCTACATAGGAGCCAGAGTGAGTGAGCTACAGAGACACACAGGATAGCAATCTTAATACAGTGTCATGTAGACCTTTTTTAAAAATAATCATTTATTTAATTCCATTTGTTATTGTTATCTTTTTATTATTATTATTATTTGACCACCAGAGAGAGACAGAAAGGGAAAACGAGAAAGCAAGCCACCAGGTCCGGGACTTGAACCATGGTTGGCCATGTGGCATGGCCATCTCCCTGGGGGGTGGGGTGGGGGTTCTCACTTTCCCTCTCACTGTCTTTCTACCTCTCCAGTGAGCATATCTGTCCTATGACAAAAATCTTAAATAAAAAATAATTAATACCTACCGAATTATGTACAGGATAATGGTTTTTCTATGAGTAAAGAGGCGACTCACTATAAAAGAACACACTTTTCAAAAAGTGCAGTAACATATGTAAAGGGAAGGCCAGAGAAAGACGAGCAGAGGTTTGGGGATGGTTATGTCGGGTAGGGTGGCAGACGAGGGCAGACAGAGTGGGAAAACACCTGGGTGTGTGACCGCCGAGGCCCAAAGCCTTTGTCGTCGTCGGAGGGGGTCTAAGCTGTCAGTAATATATGTAAGTAAATAATAAAATGTCCGAAAGCAAGTCATAGACCAGTGATAATCAGGAACCAAGGATTATAATTACGCCCCTTTGAGAAGGTGCTCCCCGCTTACCTTCATAAAGCTGTGCGTACTGGGGGAAGCCCGTTGCTCGCAGCCAGTCACAGGCTTCCTTAGCTTCGATTTCTAGAACAGAACAGAAGACAGAGCTGTTGGCTGTATGTGCCTTTGTCTCAATTAACTCTGATACGACACAAATAAAACATGATGTCAGCACAAAACATGAGCGAGTGAGCAAACGAAAAAATCCACTTAATTAGAAGAGTTGAAATGTTTATGCATCTTTTCTTCTTCAAATGTATATAATTGCAAATCTTTCTTTTAAAAACCATTAAATGGGGCCAGCAGTTGGCTTAGTGGCTATGTTGCTGACTCTCATGTAGTCGACTGCAGTTCGAGTCCCGGACCCAGTTGCTTAAATTCACGCCAGGCACATGTGTGTGCATGCCCAAGATCCTGAGAGGAGAGTGGAGGAGAAGGGATTGTGGCATGGCCATCCCCCCATTACTATTTAAAACAAAACAAAACAAAACAAACAAAAACCCCCAAAGGTCTCCTAGCAGTAAGTTATTCTGCACTGTGTAAGAGTAACTTACAAATGATTATGAAAAGGGCTTGATGAGGAAGTGGAAAAGGGATGAAATAAATTTACTCTTGGTAGGCCTAACTTGGTTTACCTTAACAAAGGCCCCCAGGTACCTCCGACACCCTAGCACAGAGTTTAACTGAGGTCGGTTACAGACCCTCGGACATCCGTGGATGGGCGTGTAAAGAGCCCCAGGGGTCATGGTGACGTGCACATAGGCGCCCGGGTGTTAGTCAGGTAGGAGGGAGGCCATGAAGTCTTGGCAGGCTGAAAGGCCTAATGACGCTCCCCTAACAGAGCTGCCCTGTGGTCTGACATCTTGGCGATGCAGGTAAGCGGCAAGGCCGAGAGCTGCAGCCACGCTGAGGTTAAAGCCCCTTGGCACCTACTTACAATCCAGGTAAACTGATTCACAGAGGAGGTCCTGGACGCTGTAACCAGTTCCTCTATCTGCATAGAGTACTCCTTTTTACTCTTCTCCCCCCGTTCCTCAGGCCCCAGGCTGGTCACCTGTTTATGAAGGCCTCAATGTTGCTTAGTTCATCCCAGACTGAAATCTTCATGAAGCACCTTTCCTCTGAGCCGGCTGAGACCCACAGTCAATATTAGAAATATACATTTCTTACTTTTGTCCAGTTACTTTGTGAATTCAAAACATTTTTCACCTATTATTCCATGAGTTCCTTAGCCTTTTAAGATAGGAAATTACAAAGGCTCACATTTCTTTTTTTGTTTTTTTCCTTGAGAGATTTTTGCAGTAGGGCAGGTGTACTTGCTGGAGAGACAGAGACAGGAAGCGAGAAATGAACTCCCAGGGGAGATGGCCATGCTGCAATCTTTTCTCCTCCGTTTTCCTCTTGGGATTTTGGGCACACATGCACATGGGCCTGGTGTGAGTTTTAAGTCACTGGGTCCAGGACTCAAACTGTGGTCGACTTCATGGGAGTCCAGGGACATAGTCATTACACTAACTGCTGGCCTCCAAAATTTAAATTTATTAAAGGAAATAAGATTGTCCTTACTGAGCACATCAAAGTGAAACACACTGTGCTATCTTTTCTTCTTCTTTTCTTTTTATTTTTGGAGAGGTTTTTGCTATAGGGCGCGTGCGCTCGCCAGACAGACAGAGACAGAGAGACAGAAAACGAGAAATCACCCCCCAGGAGGGATGGCCACACCGCAATCCCTTCTCCTCCATTCTCCTCTCGGGATCTTGGGCACGCACGCGCCTGGTGTGAGTTTAAGCCACCAGACCTGGGACGCGAACCGCAGTCGACTACATGGCAGTCCAGCGACATAGCCATTACGCTAACTGCTGGTCCCAACACTGTGCTGTCTTTTGATGAGCCAGGTGGGAGAGTGGAAATGGCTTGGCAGTTTACTTTCTGAATCTCCCCAGGGAGTGAAAGTGACATTGTTAATCACGAGGTGCAGGACTGAGTGGGGTAGACCAGCAGCACCAGGCAGTCGTGGAAGCACTCGTGTTCACACTGAGTAAAAGGACACGTGGAACTGTCCCATGTGAGTCACCCGAACTCAACAGTTGTTTTTATGTATTTTTATTTTTACCTTGTCTCAGTGAGGAACGAAGGAAATTTAAAGTGAAATGATCACACTTTCTAGAAAACTACAATGTAGGAAAAGCTTATAAGCTCAACATTTATTTTAAAAAATAAGAAAGCTACTTTTTATTTGTGTCTTCCCAATCGAAGATAGACGCGGGAAGGAAAAAAGGCTGCTAGTTTCAATGTTTTCAAAATAAATTTGCCAGAGGGCATGTGCACTTGGTGAACGAAGAGACAGAGAGAGAAAGAGAGAGAGAGAGAGACAGAGAGAGAGAGAGAGAGAAGAGAAAGCCCCCCTCCCATGGGAGATGGACATGTCGCAATCTCCCCCATCTCTCCCTCCTTTTGGGAGTCTGGACACGTACGCACATGTGCCTGGAGCATTTTTCACATTGCTGGGTTTAGGACTCACACCACACAGTTGCCCACGTGGGTTCCAGCGGCCTCAGCCGCCAGGCCACCTGCTGGCCCTGCTGTAATATTTTAAATAACTGCTTTCTGCCGGCTATTTACGGGTTACTTTTACTGCACAGACTGTTAGACACTGAACAATGGTTTGTTAAGTAATAAATGTGGGCTGGCTCTGTGGCAAGCTATAATGCGCTGCTTAAGAGAAGCACGGGGACCAGCAGTTGGCGTAATGGCTATGTCGCTGGACTCCCATGTAGTCAACAGGGGTTCGAGTCCCGGACCCAGTGGCTTAAACTCATGCTGGGCGTGTGTGTGCGTGCCCAAGATCCCGAGAGGAGAATGGAGGAGAAGGGATTATGGCATGGCCATCCCCCCTAGGGGGGTGATTTCTCGCTGTCTATCTCTCTGTCCCTCTCTCTTTCTGGTGAGCGCACACGCCCTATAGCAAAAACCTCTCCAAAAAATAAATAAAAAATAATAATAAGAGAAGCACGTCTTGTCATCAGAGGTTCGAAACTCCCGCCGTGTCAGCTGAAGTACCCTGGTGCCCTGCTGGTACCCAGGGTCCCAGTGGATGAGGGACTGGGGAAGGGAACCATGGTGACAGATCCCTGGAGGGGGTGCCTCTCTTTCGCTCGCTCTCATGCATGCTACCATGAATACAGAAAAACCTTCCAAGTAAATGTACTTGTCTTCTTCGTTTTTAGAGGGGTATTTGCTACAGGGCGCATGTGCTCACCAGAGAGACACTGAGAGACAGAAAGTGCGAAATCACTCCCAAGGGGTGGTCAGGCTGCCATCCCTTCTCCTTTCTCCTCTCGAGATTTTGGGCATGCATGCACCCGTACCCAGTGTGATTTTTACCACCGCGTCTGGGACTTGAACCATGGTCGACTGCGCGGGAGTCCAGCGACATAACCATTATGCCATCGGCTAGCCCTGCTTGCTCTCTGCATGTGATTAGTCTAATCAGAAAGTCTCAGTGTTTACCCTTTTGACAATACTCAGATGTGACAGCACATCTGTGTCCATGCCAGGGCCCTGCCACCGACACAGAGCGTGTTCCTGAGCTGATCTACACGGTGTCACACCCACAGCACGGCAGACGTCAGATATCACTGTTCTAACAACATTTACATTTGCCCCATGGAGCGTTCTAGAAATCATGAAGTGTTTACACATACATGAAGGGACGTCACCAAGTTCATGGGGAAGTGGCATTAAAGTATGCGTCTTTTAAATTTAATTTCTAGTTTTTAACTTTGCTATAGGGCATGCGCACTCACCAGAGACAGACAGAGAGACACACGGAGAGAGAAAGGGCTAGATCGCCCCCAGGGGCACGGCCACCACCCCTTCTCCAGTTTCCTTTTAAGATTTTGGGCACACAGGGAACCAGCAGTTAGCGTAATAGAGAGACACACGGAGAGAGAAAGGGCTAGATCGCCCCCAGGGGCACGGCCACCACCCCTTCTCCAGTTTCCTTTTAAGATTTTGGGCACACACACACAAACCCAGCAGGAGTCTCGAGCCGCCAGGTCTGGGACCTGAACTGCCCAGCAGGCCATGTGGGGTCTTGCACCTTACTCTCCATGTCACCTGCTGACCAGTATAAGTTTATTTCGATACAAAAAAATTGGAAATTCATACATAATATTTTCATAATACACATTCTTCACGAGCTTTTTAACCCCCCCCCATTCCATTTAAAGTCCACGTGACCTCAGGAACATGTAAATACATATTGCTGTCTTGTCATTCTTTTAGTTTCTACCTCCAAGAAAATGAAATGCCCCCAAATGACCAAAAGTTTATCTAAAAGCTATGTCCAAATATTCTTAGAACCAACCTCTTGGTTAGAAAGAAATGATGTGAGAGACCAGCAGTTAACGTAATGGCTATGTCACGGGACTCCCAAGTAGTCGACCGGGGTTCGCGTCCTGGACCCGGTGGCTTAAACTCACGCCAGGCGTGTGTGCGTGCGTGCCCAAGATCCCGAGGAGAATGGAGGAGAAGGGATTGCGGCGTGGCCATCCCCCCTGGGGGGTGATTTCTCGCTTTCTGTCTCTCTGTCTTTCTGGCAAGTGCACACACCCTATAGCAAAACCTCTCCAAAAAAAAAAAGAAAAGAAAGAAATGATGTGAATAAATGAAGATTTGCTTCTCAATGAGCTAATTTAACTGAAAGTTTATACAGTTGCTAAGATGCAGTACTTTCACGAACAGATCTAGCAACTTTCCCCTTCTTTGCTTCTTAAATAGGATACCAGGGGAAACAGACCAGCAGAATCAAGGAGTGCACAGTACACAAAGCCCACCCGTGAAGACGCCGGCTGGTGACAAAGAGAGCCCACGGCTTCCGTAGAAGCCCGGATCGGAACAGCAGTGAGTACTCATTTTCCTTTTTTGGAACATTGGCTCCTTGTCCTCACTCGCACCACTTCCGATCAGTGTTTCTCAGGAAAGTACCAGAAACCCAGTGTAAGCACTGGTGGTGATTTTTAACCAGTATTTGTGTGTTATTTAACGTGAACTTATGCCTACATCCAACCGAGTAGGGAAGA